GTCTTCGTGCTGTGCCGCGCAGCGTCGCTGGCCGCCCGGGAGCCGCGGCGCCGCTGCGGGAGATGCTGCGCGATGTGCGCGACCGGCGGGTGGCCGGCGCGGCGCTGGTCGGGGTGCTGGTGGCCGAGGCGGGGCCCGAGGACGCGGTGGCGCCGATGTTGCGGCTCCTGGAGGCGCTGCTGCGCACCGTGTTCGGCCGCCAGGCGGGAGGCCCGGTGCAGGCGGCCGCCTACTGCCCCGGCCACCCCGCCTCCAGCCTGGCCGTCCAGACCGCCGCTAGCCGGGCCCTGCAAGCAGCCGCGCCCGCGCGACCAGGTGAGGGGGCGCAAGGCCCCGTGGGCGCAGGCGGGCGGTGGCTGGGGGAAGGCCCCGAAGTTGGAACTCTTTAGGCCAGCGCCCTGGTGCACCGAGGTAAACTGAGGCCCCGAGCGGGGAGGTGCCTAGCATTGGTCCTCCCAGCTAGCGCGGAGCAGGCCCTGGGCCACGGGTCGAGTTGCTCTGGAGGATCCTGAAAGCATGGGGGACAGTGGCTTGGAAAAGCCGAGGGAACGAACAGAAGGCGGGGGAAGTTGATGGAGCAAGAGGATTGCACTGAGCTGGTCAAAGATCTGGGAGCTGCGGGGAGAGAGGAGTGGGAGGAGATGGGAAAGCCTTGGGGTGCACACATTTCAAGGAGGGATTGGGACCGAATTAGGACTGGAGGGAGGGGATTGGTGGTGCCTGGAGCTCCTGGGACGCTGCGCAGCTAAGGATGCGAAGGTGGAGGAGGCTCAGTGCAGCTGCGAAGGTGGAGGAGGCTCAGTGCTAAGCGCCGCGGGTCATAGGAAGGAGGTGTGCGGAAAGGGTGTGAGACTTGGAGATGTGGGGAAAGGGTGTGAGGGACTGACTGAGGACACAGAATGTTCGAGTCCCTCTTGGCTACTCGCCCTGGTTGTGCAGCCACTGCAGTGCCACCTGCCTTCCCTTCACATGTTGGGGTCCAACCCCAGCAGGTCCAGGGGTCCCTAAAGGTGTGGATGGAGTCAGCGAAGAAGGAAGGACACGAAGACAGCGTTCAGTTGATCAGCAGCCTAGCCAGGATCTCCAGCAAAGTTCTGTCTCTAGGTTCTCTTGTCATGTTCTGTCGCTAGGTTCTGGTTAGGATCTGAGGATCTGCTGAGGATGTGATGTTTATTGTCTTGTTACATCTGTATTTATACCAGCCGATTTTAATCCTGTCAATTTCTATTACAAAGGTTAGGGCGTTTCTTATCTCCATTCCAGGGAGTAAAGATTATGTGGCTTAACTACCCACCTGGCACTTAATTAAGGGGTTGTATCCCCTCCCTAACCTCAGGGAAAAATCCCCACCTGGGGAAACAACCTTTCTCGGAGAGGTGACCTTGGTTAAAACACATAGTGCTAAGGGGAGCAAACATATTAAGAACAGTATGCTATAAACGCCAGGTCCATTGAAACATATGCTGTGCAGATGTTTCTTTCCTGTAGCGACTGTGTCAAGCAGCAAGGATGGACCGGCTCCCGGCATTCACACTCTCCTGAAGTTTGGGGAGCAGAGTGAGGGTCTTCTGCTGCTGCCATCCACAGAAGAGTCAGAATCTCCTCCCTCCTGGTACACAAGGTTTTCCAGGAGTTTCCAGTGTCCTCGGATTAAAATATGGACATTAAGTATAGCTGGATCTGGCACAGCTGGGAGATAGCGGAGCATTCTTTGCACTCCCTGCTTCCCCCACCTCCAGCAGCTGCTCTTCTCCAAGCCCTCTGGCCTTCCCTCCATTATCTGCCAAACTCTTGTGAAGACAGAGGCTGCTGTGCTCTGCCTCCCTGGACACTGCTGTGTTAATCAGCAACCGGGAGGTGCCAGACTTGGGGGGGGGGGGGCGGTTCCAGCAAGGAGAACTGTACCTCTGAAGTCACAAATGTCACAGACCTAACTGCCAGCCTGGCCTGCCTAGGTGGAGGCCATCCGTCTCACCTGTAGAACCTGCCCTAACCATCCCCCCTCCCACACCCCCCATGCCCACAGCCCTTTCTGCTCCATCTGTGAGGAAGCCGGCTAAATTCGAAACTCCACAACCTGCATCCAGAAAGACAGGGAATGTCCTGAGGTGGACTGTCATTCTGATGGTGGGCCTGGCCCCATGGGAGGACATTTTCTACCTTCCCCCACCCCCAATGAGCTGGTGCCTGGAAAATTCTGAGCCCTTAGTTTCTCCCATTCCCCAGGAAATAGCTTTTAATCCCCCAAAGCCAAGCTTGCTCTGGCCTGCTAAGCTTTTGTATACACATTGCAGTTGCCTGGAATGAAAGCCTTAAGGGCCTTTTTTTCTTTCTTTTTTTTTAAGGCCTTTTCTTTCATTTCACCTCCTCACCTGACCAACCCCATTTCATCATTCAGAACTGGACTTCCTCCTCCAAGAAGTCTTCCCTGACCTCCCTTACTCCTTTACAGGTTCAAAAATGAAATCCTCAAACCTACCGCCACTCTCTAGTTTCTTACCAATGGTTTTGTCACTTTTGCTTATGAGTTTAATCACCACTATATTCCCATTTCCCATGACCTGCCTGGCACGCAGAATCCTTACCTCTTCTTAAACACTGAATCGATCTCTACTGCATTAAACTCATTTCTACTTTTATAAAAACACTAAACAATATGAAACCTTTTACTAATGACTACAGGTCATGAGCGTGATTATTGTCCACTAATTTATTTGTCCACTAATTTTGTCTGGGCTTTTGCAGTGGGCAGCGCCACTCACACATTCATGATGCTAAGGTTTTCCTAGCAATTGCGTGTGGCTTTTTAAAGTCTCCCCATCCCCTTCCTCACTACCTCCTGGTTATTCTTATACTTTTAGATTGTCTGCCTCTTGACATGCCCTCTTACCCAGTTTATGCCCAATCCAGCTGCCAATGGGTTGAAAAACTAGGAATCCAGTCTTTTTAGAACTGGGTGCGAATTAAGAGTAAATAAGCCCCACATAAAGAAAAACAAACACCGATTTTGTTTTGGCTTCCTGGAGTTTGTGTGTGTGTGCATGTGTGTGTGTGTATGTGTGTGTGTATGTGTGTGTGTGTGTTTGTGTGTGTATGTGTGTGTATGTATGTGTGTATGTGTGTATGTGTATGTATGTGTGTGTATGTGTGTATGTGTGTATATGTGTGTGTATGTGTGTATGTGTGTGTATGTATGTGTGTGTGTGTGTGTGTGTGTGTGTTTTTAACTCCATTGCCGTTACCTTATTCCACATGGTTGGGGCTCTTAAGTGATCCCTACATCACTTAGGTGATGCTATAATAAGGAAACTAGAATCAGCATATAAGTGTTTTGTATGTGATTATTTAAAAAGATTAAGCCTTTTCATATTAAGAAATAGTTTGAACTAAAAAGCGGGGAAATTACTGCTCCATGAGTATTTTCGTTGGTGCTATGTAATTGTAATTCATATCATGTCATTCTTATCAAGGTAGTTGCCCCAACATGGTACCTACGTCATAGAGTCTTTGTGAGGAAGAAATGATATAATATGTATAAAGCAATCCTTATATAAAGCACCCTGACCGGAGATTAAATCTGAAACCTAGGTTTGTGCCCTGACTGGAATCGAACCCACAACTTTTTGGTATACAGGATGACGCTCCAGCCAACTGAGCCATATGGCCAGGGCTGTTTGTGTTTTTGTTTGTTTGTTTTAAGTATAAAAACTCCACCCCCTTTTGCAAATCAGAATCTTTGTTTTTAATCAGACAGTTGAAACTAGGGCAGTTAATAGTTGAAGCTCTTGGTTTGCTTCACTGAAAATCTCTCAGTTGTGTCAAGCACCATGTGACCTGCTGCCTCTGGGACTTTGTGTTCCTTTCAGCAGAAGGAGCCTGGGAGAGACCCGGCCTCCCGGCGCTGTTGGCCTGCTTCTCCTGGGGTCCCTGGAGCCGGGGGAAGGACCCGTATGCCACCGCCTCCCCCAGTGGTCCAGCTCAGGGTGAGTGAGTCGCTTCCTGCTCCTGGACTCTCAGGGCCAGGTGCTTGGGATTAAGAGAGTGGTCACGTGCACAGGGACCGTAGGGAGAGAGAGGACTGACATCCATGGAGCACAGGCCGTGTGTTCAGGGTGGGAGTGAGCAGTGTGAGGTGCCCCGGCCACCAGGAGCCAGCACACGGGCTTGGTCAACAGGGCTCTAGCCCCAGGAGTCTCTGCCTAGTGAAGGCGGTATAGGTCAGTGGTCGGCAAACTCATTAGTCAACAGAGCCAAATATCAACAGTACAACGATTGAAATTTCTTTCGAGAGCCAAATTTTTTAAACTTAAACTATATAGGTAGGTACATTCAACTTTAAATTCACGGTTTTCGTCTTCCGTTTTCTTTGCTTCTTCTTTGTAGCCTCTCAAACAGGCACCTAAAAAATGTTTCATTTTATAATAATAAAGCCACCAACACAAAATAATTACAATTCTTAAATTGATGACAAAAATACCTGTAGGATTTGCAGCTGGTTGGAAAAATACAGGTAACTTTATGCTTCGAGTAGGTACTTTTGCCACCCGTGCACGATTGCGGACGC